GGGGGTCCCTCTGCCTCCCAGGACCCCACTTAGTGTTCCCTTCACTCTCCCGTCTTGGGGTCCCGAGTTCTGGAAGCCCCTCCGCCAGGAGGTAATCTGAGTCCACCTGCCCCCCAGGAACTCAGGAAGGACTTCAGTTATTTCTCCTGCCTTCCTTCCAGCTAAGCGATGGGAATTCATGAGGAGGCCCTTCCTCAGAAGGTGATCCAAGGGGCCCTCTGCCCCGAGGGACTCAAGAGGGGACCCAGGCATTGTCCCTCCCGCCCCCCCCCCAACAGTGGGGATGGGTTGAGGAGGTGATCTGTGAAATCAGCCCTCTTATTTGCCTACCCTCTCCCAGCTATGGGGTTGTGGCTCCCAGGATGTCCTCCTCCCCAGAGGGAGAGCCGGAGGTGTCCCTTGTCCCCCAGGGACAGATCTGTCCATTGTTTGCCCCCCAACGCCCAGCCGTGGGGCGAGTAACACAAGGCATGGCCTCCCCATCTGTAATCCTGGGCTCCCCAGCTCCCCAGAAAGGGTCCCCGCCATTGTTTCTTCACCTGCCTCCCTACCTCCAGCCACGGGGCTGGTATTCAGGATGAGGTCCTGACACTCATCCTCATACCCCAGCCATGTGGTCACTCATTCCAGAATCTCCCCTTCCTAGGAGATGTCAAGGGTCCCCCTGCAGCCCCAAAGGCCTCCCAGGTATTATTTATGGCCGCCCCGAGCTGGCGGTTGGAATTCAGGATCTTCCATCCAGTTGGGCAAACGGTATTTGGACACCTGTCCCTCCCCTCCTGGCTACGGGGTCCATGGGTCTCCCCGCCCCTCCAGGGGTCGCCCAGATTCCTCTCGCAGCCCCCTCTCCAGCTTTAGGAACTGGCACTGGGGAACACAGGTGTTTAGACAGTACCTCCCACCCCAGAACTGTGAGTCTGGCATTCACGTTATCTCTTCCTCAGGAAGTGGGCCAGGGGTGCCCCTGCCCTGCCCCAGTGCCCCAGGAGGAGCGCCAGATGTGGTTTGCCCCTTACTCTCCTCCCCCATGTGTTGGCTTCAGAGCTCAGGATGCTTCCTCTGTAGAAGGCAAGCCAGAGGTCACCCTCCCTACCAGGAACCCCCAAATATGCCACCCCCAACTACAGGACCACAATTCAGGCCGTGTACTCGGGAGCAAGCACAGGAATCCGGACACCCACCCTTTTCCCCACGAGGGGACCCCGGTCAAGGGGGTAGGAACCTAGGGCTGTCTCTCCTCTGCAGGACCCAAGCTTCCTACCAGAGGAGCCCAGGATGGAGAGAGGGGCCGAGCCGTGGAGTTGGGGACCGGACACCCCGAGTGCCGGGTCCCCTGACTTCCATCCAGGTGTGGGGCTGAGAAGGGAGGGCCCACCCAAGTCCCACCAGGGTCCCTCCTCTCCCGGCCCAGGCTGGGGAAGTCACAAGTTTTGCTGCAGCCTGAGACAAGAGAAGGATCCGTGTGTGTGTTCAGGAATGGGCTCTGGGGCATGGTTTGGCCCCCTCTCCCTTCCCTGCCCAGAGTCCCCGTACAGAGACCCCGTGATCCCCAGAACCTATAGCCACCCACACTCTGTCCTCGCCCCGCAGATCCTGCCGCCGGAGCAGCCGGCACTTCCACGCCTGGGATGCGGCGCTCGGTGCTGGTCAGGAATCCAGGCCACAAAGGCCGGAAAGTGACTTACGAAGAGCGTGACTCCGGCTCAGAAGACCTGGACCCCAATCCAGAAGAGCTGGACCCAGTTTCTGAAGACCCAGAGCCTGACCAGGAAGACCTCAACACTGTCTCTGAAGACGTGGACCCCAGCTACGAAGATCTGGAGCCCGTCTCCGACGATCTGGACCCCGATGCCGAAGCTCCGAGCTCCATCTCGGGGACCCGTGACTCGGATCGCCAAGATCTCGACCCCATGTCTTCGAGTTTCGACCTCGATCCAGACGTCATCGGCCCTGTCCCCCTCGTTCTCGACCCTAACAGCGACACCCTCAGCCCCGCCGCCGCCCCAGACCTGGACCCCCTCTCCTCCGGCCTCACCGCCACCCCCGAGGTCCTGGCCACCAGCCCCGCGGGGCTGCCTGCACCTGCCAGCCCGCCCCGGCCCTTCTCCTGCCCCGATTGCGGGCGCGCCTTCCGCCGCAGCTCGGGGCTGAGCCAGCACCGGCGCACCCACAGCGGCGAGAAGCCGTACCGCTGCCCCGACTGCGGCAAGTCGTTCAGCCACGGCGCCACGCTGGCGCAGCACCGCGGCATCCACACCGGCGCGCGGCCCTACCAGTGCGCCGCGTGCGGCAAGGCGTTCGGCTGGCGCTCCACGCTGCTCAAACATCGCAGCAGCCACAGCGGCGAGAAGCCACACCACTGCCCCGTGTGCGGCAAGGCCTTCGGCCACGGCTCGCTGCTGGCCCAGCACCTGCGCACGCACGGCGGCCCGCGGCCTCACAAGTGCCCGGTGTGCGCCAAGGGCTTCGGGCAGGGCTCGGCGCTGCTCAAGCACCTGCGCACGCACACAGGCGAGAGGCCCTACCCGTGCCCGCAGTGTGGCAAGGCCTTCGGCCAGAGCTCGGCGCTGCTCCAGCACCAGCGCACGCACACGGCGGAGCGCCCCTACCGCTGTCCCCACTGCGGCAAGGCGTTCGGCCAGAGCTCCAACTTGCAGCATCACCTGCGCATCCACACGGGCGAGCGGCCCTACGCGTGCCCCCACTGCTCCAAGGCTTTCGGGCAGAGCTCGGCGCTGCTCCAGCACCTGCACGTGCACTCCGGAGAGCGCCCCTACCGCTGCCAGCTCTGTGGCAAGGCTTTCGGCCAAGCCTCCAGCCTCACCAAGCACAAGCGGGTGCACGAGGGCGCAGCCGCCGCCGCCGCCGCCGCCGCTGCCGCTGCCGCCGCTGCCGCCGGCCTGGGTCTCAGCCCTGCTTCGATGTTGAGGCCCGGGCAGGTCTCCCTCCTGGGGCCTGATGCTGTGTCTGTGCTGGGCTCTGGCCTGGGCCTCAGTCCTGGCCCCAGCTCTGGCCTGCGCCCTGACCCTGGCTCTGTGCTGGGCTCCCTCCCCAGTCCCAGCTCCAAACCCGGATCTACCCCCACCCCCGATCCTACCGAGTCTTCTGACCCCAAGCCCGGTCACCACGCCAAGCCTGACCCTGTGGCCAGCCCTGACCGCGGCTCTGATCCCAGCCCTGCCTCGGATCCTGTGCCCAGCCCAGACCCCAACCCTGAGTCCCACCCTGGCCCCTGCTCTCCCACCCATGACGCTGTCAGCCCAGCGCTCCCAACCGGCGATAATCCCGAGTGGGTGCAGCAGCAAGGGGCGCTGCTGGGGCCTGATGGCTGAAGGGGACGCTGGCAACCACAGGGGGCCTGGGGAAGCTGTGTGTCGTGCACTTAGTAAAACCCTCCCATTGCCTCCTGGCTCTGCGTCTTGGTTCTCTCGTCTGTCATTGTCCCCTAATGCACAGCCCCTTCCTCAGGACATGGGAGGGTGTGGCCTGGACTGGCCATACATCCGGAACCCCAATGTCCTGGCTCTCCCCCAACATCTTCCAGGCTTCCCAGCTTCCCCCGCAAAGTCTCACTGGTCCATCCCATTCTGCTCCCCCAGGCGTGGCCACCCGAGTCATGTAATCTGAGCAGCATCCTTTCCCTTTGACTTTTCCAGGAATGGAGGAATTTGTGGCATGCTGACAGTCTGATGGGCTGATAAGGGAGGCCGATATCAAACTGCGTGGGCAGGGCTGCCCCATTCGCTCTCTTAATTTACTCCTTGCCCTTCAAATTCCACATTACAGGTACATCACTGGACAAAGGAGGTCGCACATTTATGCATTCAACAAACTTCTGTTGATTGCTCGGGTCTCAGCAAGGAGCAAGCCAAGCGTGGCCTTGGCCCTCACAGAGCTCACAGATACCAAATTCAGAAATGTGTAAAACGTAATTACAGGGTATGGTACATTCTAGAAGGAGCACCACAAGATTTCTCGTTGAGATGGGGGACAGCTTTCCTGAGGGAGGACTCTAATCTCAATAACCACTTCTTTAATCCTCAGTACTGTTTGCCCAGGCTTGTGCTAAGCTCTTGCGTTTTGTCATTTAATTCTCTCAACAGTTCCAGGAGGCAGGTAACTATGATAGAGTATCCTCGTTTTGCAAATGAGGAAACTGAGGTATGAGGAGTTTATGGGACTCTGGAAGATGGAGAAGTGGTGGTTGGCAGCACCTAGGTTTAAACCTGAATTGTCTGCCCTCCAGAGCCTGCATTCTTAACCATTATGCTCTAGAGCAGGATTGTGCAAAGGCCCTGGGGCCACTGAGAAATGAACTAGAAGAGGTGGGGCCAGACTAGAGGGGTGGCAACTAGATGGCCGACTGAAGTGGGGAGTTTACTTGTCATCCCAGAGAAATGGGAAACCACAGGCAGATTCTGTCAGAGGACTCATGAAGTACGCTTGGAAGACGCTCCTGGCTGCTGGGTGGAGAGTGGAATGGAGGGGGTCAGGAGTTGACGCCTCAGATCAAGGAGGAAATTGCTGCAGTGGTCCAAGCCAGGAAGGTTGGGGGACTCTGGGCTGAGGGTCATAGGAGTGGGATAAGTGGTCCTACTGGGGATATAATTCGGAAATGAAATAGGATTTGCTGATAATTCATAGGAAAGGGGTAAAAGGAGAAGGAGTTGAGAGGAACCCCCGGGTATCTGGGAGGATGGAGGGGAGCAGCCCTGATTGTCATCACCGGCCACCGCGGAGGGTAAGGGGTCAAGCACTGGACAGGGAAGTCAAGAGTAGGCCCCGGACGCGGGCGCGCCAGGCAGCCAGCACGCAGCCAGCCCTCCGTCGGCCGAGCAGCCCATCCCCCAGCCCACGATAGCGGGCGGCGCTAGGACCCCGCGCCCGCCCTGGGCCCGGCGGAGGCGCGCATGCGTGCTGCGGCGGCCCGGGCCGTCGTGGCGCGGGGGGGCGGGCCCGGGCCGGTCACGTGCTCGCGGGCGCGCCCGGGTCACGTGAGCGCGCGCGGGTCAGCTGACGCGGGCGGGTTTGAAGCGGCGCCGCGAGCGAGCCAGGCCGCGGCCACGGCGGGCTCGGACCCCGGCTGCCCCGCGGCGCCCGCCAGCGGCATGGCAGCCCCCGCGGGCAGGCGCGGCTCAGGTGAGGGCGCGGACCCCCGATCGCGGGCGGCGAGCTCCCCGGGCCTGACCTCCGGGGCTGAGCGCCGCTGGCCCCCGGCGGGGGGAGACCTGGGCCGGCGGCTCCTAGAACCCGGGCGGCGGGTTCTCCGACCCGGGGGTGCCGGGACGCCCCCCCGCCCTTCCCGATCGCAGGCTCCGCCCGGAGGTCAGGCCGCGGGGTGGCCAGGATTTGCACTCTGAGCCTGGGTTCGGATTGCCCGGCCTGGCCCGGCTTTGCTAGAACTCAGACAGCGGGCGCCGGCTTCTTCCACGCGCGTGCGAGCCTCCCGGGCTTTCCTTCCTCGATCCAGGGGGCAGATGCTCAGCTTCTCTCTCAGCTCCGGCGGAGGGCTGCAGGGGTCTCCTCCTTGGGGCCGGGAGCCTCGCTCAATGGCAGATCTCTCTAACCCACGGAAGCTCGGCTTGCCTGAACTCAGGCGGCGGGTGCCCAGCCTCCAGCCTCTGCCTGTCATGGGGGAGCCCGGAGGAGGACTCTTGCGTCGGCCTCCCCTCTTGAGCTCGCCGTAGACCCCTGAAAGGTGGAAGGGTCTGGAGCGGGTTAGCTGGGATGCCAGCTGGGAAGGCGGCCCGCCCTCTGGCCTCGGATCCGGCTGTGTTGTAAACAACCACTAGCATCCAAGCGCCAAAGGGACTGGCCAGGAGCTGGCCCTCCCTGCAGGACAGGTTCTCACGGTTCCCACGTGCATCCTGGCGGCCGTGCCGGGCAGGGGGCCAGCCGGGCCCTGGAAAGGAAAAGGTTCCCTGGAGGTGGGGGTCGGGGGTGCGGTCAGGGACGATTCTGGGCTGCTGTGACCCGAGCACTGCTGAAACTTTGTACCTTCCTCTTAGGCTGGTCAGGGTGGAAGGGAATGGCAGTGCTGCGAACAGCCTCTTTGCAGAAAGATTACTGAGACTCCGGCGCCAGCTGCTTTGTGTCACTTCATTCTCAGAGCACTGTCAGAGTTTGGGCCCCAGGGGTAGACTTTTTTCCTTTTTTTTTTTTTCTTTTGGCGAGGAAGATTGGCCCTGAGCTAACATCTGTGCCTTCCTCTATTTTTCTATGTGGGACACCACCACAGCATGGCTTGATGAGCTGTGTATAGGTCTGCCCCCAGGATCCGAACCGGTGACCCCCCAGGCTGCTGAAGCAGAGCCCGCAAATGTAACCACTACACCACTGGGCCAACCCCCAGGATAGACTTTTTTAATTTCCACTTTTCAGACAAGGAGACTGAGGCTCAGAGAGAGGCCTGGGGTCGCCTCATGGGGAAGTGGCAGGTCTGGGATTCGGTCCTAGGGCTGTGTGGCTTCCCGGAGCTGGCACTCTTAAGGAGATGCCATGTGAGGTCATAAGTTGACATACACAGTGTGCTGTCATCTCCTGGCGCACAGTGAGTCTTCAGGATTGTGTTTCCCTATGATGACTGTGTTTGTCGCCCTGCCCTTCTCCAGGCCGGTGGCTTGTGAGCATGTCAGCCAGACAGGTCAGGTCATCATGAGGGAGAAGGTCATCCTTGGGCTGTTTGTCCAGAAAAAAGGAAATATGCTGAGCTCTGTGCTCGCGCTTGCAGGCTGGAGTTGGGATGGGCCCCGGGGCCTTGAGTGCCCCATGAGAAGTTCTCAAAGCCCGTCCTTCTCCCCACAAGTCAACAACAGGGACAGTGAAGGAACTTCTGACCTTCTTAGCACGGTCCCGCCCCGCTGCTAAATGCTTTGTGAGCAAATCTGCAACTTCCCAGTGGGGGATGGTTACGCCCCATTTTGCAGGCTGAGGCTCAGAGAGGCTGTGCCCTGACCGAGCCGGTGAACAGCAGGGTCAGGAATCAACTCAGGCCCCGTGGAGTCCCACACCCGTACGGGTGGTCTCTGAGTGGCACCGCTGCCTGTAGGCAGTCACGGGCCGTATAATGACATCTCGGGCAACGACAGACTGCACAGCCTAGGGGCATGGGAGGCTGTCCCGTCTAGGTCTGTGTCAATACACTGGTATTCGCATAACAACGCACTCGCCTAACGACTCATTTCTCAGAACGTGCGCCCCTCGTTAAGCGACAGGTGACTGCACATAAGATGTTGCAGTTTCTGGGTTTTCTTAGCTTTCTCAGGGTCCTTTCTTGGCTGGAGCAGGGGGCTGCAAGGAGAGGCTGGATGCTGCCTCCCCTGTTGGCAGCTGAGCCCTGGCCACACCGCCCTCTCCCCATCCCACAGAGACCGAGCGTCTCCTGAGCCCCAGCCCCGGGTATGGGACCCACGCGGGGGCCTCGCCACCCCCGCTGACCCCTCCGGAGGAGGAAGACCTCCGCCGCCGTCTCAAATACTTCTTCATGAGCCCCTGTGACAAGTTCCGGGCCAAGGGTCGCAAGCCCTTCAAGCTGATGCTGCAAGTGGTGAAGATCCTGGTGGTCACTGTGCAGGTGAGAGCAGGAGGGGCTCCGGCAGAACGCCGCCGGTGGCCGCTGTTTTCCCCGAGGGAGAGTCTGGGAGTCAGAGCCTGACCCCGCAGTGTAGTGTTAATGGCAGGGACCCTCTTGGGAGCCCTCAGAGGTCTGTGTGTAACCTCACAAAGGCCCTCTGGGGTCCTGGCAATGGCTGTTGCCCTCAAAGATGAGGCAGCTGAGGCTCAGAGAGGTTAAGCGACTTGTCTAAAGTCACACAGCAATTGGGAGCTGCCACTTGAACCCAAGCAGTCTGATGTCATGTTGACCCTCAAAGAGAACCCAGCCAGTGGCTGAACAGATAGTTGCCCCCTCCTTCCATGCGAGGCCCTGTGCTGGGCTCTGGGGACCCCAAAATGAATCAGACCCAGGCTCCTGCAACAAGGAGCTTCTGGTCTAGTGCTGGAATGGTTACCACGCCTCTGATTTCCACTCGTGGTCCTAACTCTGTAGGTTTGGGTTTAGTGCAGAATCCGGGGGCCAGTAAACATTTAATAAACCTTAACTGCTGCCTTGAGATGGATGTCCCAGTGCCCGTGCGCCACGCCCTGGGGACACATGGTGGGCACGGCAGACGGGGTCGTGGGCCCTCTCTTTCCTCCGCCTCCTCCTCCACTCCTGCCGGGAGGGAGGCCCCATCCCAGCCGTGCCAACAGCTCTGCCCCTCCCGCCAGCTCATCCTGTTCGGGCTCAGCAACCAGCTGGCGGTGACGTTCCGGGAGGAGAACACGGTGGCCTTCCGCCACCTCTTCCTGCTGGGCTACTCCGACGGGGTGGACGACACCTTCGCCGCCTACACGCGGGAGCAGCTCTACCAGGCGATCTTCTATGCCGTGGACCAGGTGCGGGCAGCCAGGGAAGGGGGCGGGCGGCCGGCCGGCGGAGAGTGGCCGAGGCTGACGGACCCTCCCCTTCTCTGCCCACAGTACCTGTTGCTCCCTGACGTGTCCCTGGGCCGCTATGCCTATGTCCGGGGCGGGGGCGGCCCCGAGGCCAACGGCTCGGCCCTGGCCCTCTGCCAGCGGTACTACCACCGAGGCCACGTGGACCCGGCCAACGACACCTTTGACATCGACCCGATGGTCGTCACTGGTGAGGGGGCAGGGCAGGACTTTGCTCTCAGGAGCCCCGGCTGCTGGGATTCCAGTCTCGGTTCTGGCCCCTGCTCATCGGGTGATGGGGTTGTCGTGATCATTAATAATTTGATGTACGCAGCGTGCTTAATAGAATGCATGGCGTGCAGAAAGAGCCCGTGTTATTTTTCAGTATATATTAATTCACTAAACACCGGGGGGCCTGCAGAGTGCCAGGCCCCAGGGTCCAGGTAGGGAAGAAGATAGACCAGGCCCCCCCCACCCCCGGGGGGAGACAGCAGGGAACACGCGACAAATGTGGAGGTGCAGAGTGGGAAGTGTCAGGGAAAGAGGCTGTCGGGGACTCTGGGGAGACCAGCCTGTGCCTCCCCCAGCCCCAGTGTCCCTTCCCTGACTCCTGCCTGTCCTCAGACTGCATCCGGGTGGACCCCCCCGAGAGACCCCCAGTGCCCCCCAGTGACGATCTCTTCCTCTCCGACGGCAGCGCCAGTTACAGGAACCTCACCCTCAAGTTCCACAAGTACTGCCCGATGGACAGAGGGGGCGCCCCTGGGCTGGGCCAAGGGTGGGGGAGGCAGGACGCCCGGCCCCCAGGGGCCACTTGGCCACAGGCGGGGGCAGGGGCCAGCCCTGCTGACTCCTGCCACGTGAGCACTTCCTCTGCCAGCTGCAGAGTCAGCGTGGGGCCGGAGCGCTGGGCCTGGGGGCAGGAGGGCCCCGCAGAGCCCCCTCCCCTCACCCGAGCCTTCCCCCCAGGCTGATCAACGTCACCATCCACTTCCAGCTGAAGACCATCAACCTCCAGAGCTTGATCAACAATGAGATCCCAGACTGCTACACCTTCACTGTGCTGGTGAGCCCACGGGCCCTGGCCGGGGTGGGGACCCTGCAGCAACCTGGGGTAGGGGGTGGCGCACAGGGCTCCTGAGCTCCGGGGTCTGGGGACCCTCGGCCAGGGCAGCATGGGGGTGATGGGGAGGCTGGGGCTGGACCGACCATCCGTCAGGCAGGCCATGGTTTACTCTGCCCCCTCCTGTCCCCCTGCACCCCTGCAGATCACCTTTGACAATAAGGCGCACAGTGGGCGGGTCCCCATCAGCCTGGAGACCCAGGCCCACATCCAGGAGTGCAAGCACCCCAGCGTCTTCAGACATGGTGAGCCTCTGAGCCCCAGACCAGTGCCGGCCAGGGGCCCTGGCCTGTCTGGGGATCGCCAAGCCCCAGACAGCACTGAGCAGGGGCCCTGGCCTGTCTGGGGATCGCCAAGCCCCAGACAGCACTGAGCAGGGGCCCTGACCTGCCCAGGGGTCCCCTGAGCCTCAGACAGCACTGACCAAGGGTCCTGACCTGCCCAGGGGTCCCTGAGCCCCGGACAGCACTGACGGAACTCTTGACTCAGAGTAACCCATGAGCCTGCTGCCCAGCCCCTCGCAGCCCTGCAGCCCCCGGGCCTGGCCCTGCCCCTGTGCTGGCCTTACCCGTGGCCCCCTCCCCATAGGAGACAACAGCTTCCGGCTCCTGTTTGACGTGGTGGTCATCCTTACCTGCGCCCTCTCCTTCCTGCTGTGCGCCCGCTCACTGCTCCGCGGCTTCCTGCTGCAGAACGTGAGAGCCGCCCCCAGCCGCGCCCAGCTCTGGGGCCATGAGGGCCGGGGGACGTGAGGGTCCTGTGCCCAGACAGGCCTCACCCCGCCTGCCCCCTGCAGGAGTTTGTCGGGTTCATGTGGCGGCACCGGGGTCGGGTCATCAGCCTGTGGGAACGGCTGGAATTTGTCAACGGCTGGTACATCCTGCTGGTCACCAGCGACGTGCTCACCATCTCGGGCACCATCATGAAGATCGGCATCGAAGCCAAGGTGGGTCCTGCCCACTCCTGCCCGGGGCTCCATCCTGTCCTTCCAGACCCTGGCCCCCATCCCGCCTCGTGCCCAGGTCCGGTCCCTGCCGACGGCTGCCTGGGACCACATCCCTCGGGAAGGGCCGGGCCAGACGGAGCTGACACTGCTTCCCCCCGCCCCCCAGAACCTGGCAAGCTATGACATCTGCAGCATCCTCCTGGGCACCTCCACGCTGCTCGTCTGGGTCGGGGTCATCCGCTACCTGACCTTCTTCCATAAGTACAATGTAAGCCTCAGACACGCAGCGTCCGGGCCCTCCAGGTGGCAGCCACATGCTCCCAGATTCCTACTCCCCCAAGTAAATGCATACACAGGTGGCAGTCACCAGCCCCTGATGGCCTGGCCTGTCACAAGCGAGTTCCTCATATCTGCCCACCCCAGATGTACCTGTCGCTACACCTGGGCTGAGCCCCGCCATGGGTGCTGTCGGGCCCCCTCAGCCCCACCCTGCCCCTTCCAAGCTCCCCCAGGCTTCTCTGGCCACCCAAGCGTGCCCTCCACCAGGCCCTGCCCGCTTCACCCCCATCCTCACGGCGGGCCTGGGTGGTGGCCACGCCATCATCTCTGGCCACCACCCGCCCCACAGATCCTCATCGCCACGCTGCGGGTGGCCCTGCCCAGCGTGATGCGCTTCTGCTGCTGCGTGGCTGTCATCTACCTGGGCTATTGTTTCTGCGGCTGGATCGTGTTGGGGCCTTACCACGTGAAGGTAGGGGCCGGAGGGGGCTGCTCATGACCCACCCTCCAGGGCTCCCTGGCTCCCTCCCCCCGAGCCCCCTCCCTAAGCCCTCCGACCCCTGGTCTATGTATCGCGGACCTGGCGACACTGAGTGACCCCCCTTGACCCCTGGCCCCTCACCAGCAGATCTGCCCCTGATCCCCTCTGACCCCTAGTGTCCCCGCTGTGCCCCCGGCTCCCTCTGACCCGCCACCCTGCTGCCGCAGTTCCGCTCGCTGTCCATGGTGTCGGAGTGCCTGTTCTCGCTCATCAACGGGGACGACATGTTCGTGACCTTCGCGGCCATGCAGGCGCAGCAGGGCCGCAGCAGCCTGGTGTGGCTCTTCTCCCAGCTCTATCTGTACTCCTTCATCAGCCTCTTCATCTACATGGTGCTGAGTCTCTTCATTGCCCTCATCACCGGCGCCTACGACACCATCAAGGTCAGCCGCGCGCCCCCTCCCGCCAGCAGCCACCCCTCCCACCCCGGGCTCCGGCTCCCTCGGGGTCGGCATGGCGGGGGCAGGAGAGAAGGACCAGGGGGGTGTGGGAGAGTCCGCGAAGCCAGAGGAGAGAGGGCTCCGAGTGAGGGGGCACAGGCGGCAGTGATACCGTCCTGGTCACGCTGCCGCATCTCAGTTTTATGCAGGATGCACCCCAGCCATGTAGGGTTCCCGCATCCGCTCTTACCAACAGGGAAACCGAGCCGAGGGGTTTCAGTGTCGCGCCGGAGGTCAGCTACCAAGCCGTGGAGCCCGGCTCAACCCAGCACTATCCGATTCCAGAAGCCCTCCCTCCTGCAGGGTGGCCTGGGCTGTTTGGGTCTGAGGAACGAACAGTGGTTGTCCCCGCAGGCTGCGGGGGTCAGAGGGATGGACCGGTCAAGAGCAGAATGTGGGAGTGGCGGGTAGACAGGATGCTTTTAGCAAACGTGTCTGAGGGCTTCTGGTGCGCCAAGCCCTGTGCTGGGTGCCAGGCAGCTGGGAAACGACGTCCACGGTCTGTCCTGCTGTCCACGGTCTGTCCAAGGCTGCTGGGCAAGGTGGACGATGCATGAACGGAAATATGATGTATGATGACCAACTGGTGAGAGGAGTGAAGGAAGTGTGGAAGCCTCCAGGGGAACCCCCTGCTTTAAACTGGTACTGGGGTGAGTCCAGGAAGGTTTCTAGAATGTGCCGTCCCATACTAGTCTCTAGCCACGGGTGACTGTTTCAGTTTTAACTGTAATTGCAAGGAGATACAATTGCAAATTCAGTTGTTCCCTCACACCATCCACGTATCAAGTACCGCAAAGCCAATATGGCCGGTGCCTACCAGATGGCACAGCATAGATATCAAACTTTTCCGTCATCTCAGAAGGTTCCATATTGAAGAGATGGAAGCCCAAGGGAGAGAGCAGCCAAAGGAAAGACTTAGTAGCGGGAAAGGACTTGGAGAGGAGAGAATGGCTCCTCCATGGGGGTAGGTTGTGGGGGGGTGGTGGCTGAAGTCCAGAACATTCCCTGGGGCTGGGGATGAACATCTGCATAGTCGCACTCCCCATGCACGGATCGAGCCATCCTGCAGACACACTCCTGTCACTCAGGCCCGAGGAGCCCCCACGGTCTTAGTCCAGCACTTAAATGTCACCCACATGGATCAGCCTGGGTGTACAAGCCCAGACCTTGCTCCTACTGTGTGCACCCAGCCACCTCAATAGATGGTTGTCACTCACCCAGCTTGTGTTAGGCACGGCTCCAGGTGCTGGAGCTGCAGCCAAGGGCACCAGCTGGCCAAGATGTGGGCCGTGCACACACGCGTGGGCCAGGGAGTGGCTGTCTCCCTGTGAAGCAAGCCACGGGAACAACAGGTGGCAGGCACAAGCAAGTGCAAAGGCCCAGAGGTGGGAGCCTCGTTGGTCGATGAGGAACAGCCAGGAGCCCCAGGTGGCTGGAGAGGTGGTGGAGGGGAGGGCAGACCTCAAGCGGCCCCCTTCATGCTGGGCCACGCGCATCTCTCCCCAGCACCCGGGCGGTGTGGGCACAGAGGTGAGCGAGCTCCAGGCCTACATCGCGCAGTGCCACGACAGCCCCACCTCCGGCAAGTTCCGCCGCGGGAGCGGCTCAGCCTGCAGCCTGCTGTGCTGCTGCGGCAGGTTCGAGCCCCGAGCCCCTGTGGTTGGGGACTTGGGGGCTAGGGAAGGGGAGCGTGCCGGAGGGAACTGATGCCTTCCACCTTGGCTGACAGCGGCCCCTCCTCCAGGGACTCGGAGGAGGAGCGTTCGCTGCTGGTGAATTGACTCGGATCACGACTGTCACTGGACATTAGCCCCCGGACTGCGGAGACCCCTGCTTATTTATTTTTTAGGTTTGCTTTTAAGGACCGGCTCCCTGCTGCGCCCTGTGAGGGCCTGGGCCAGTCGGGTCGGACACTGAGGTGGGTGGGTGTCAAATAAACGGGAAAATAAACCTGTTGTTCTCATTTCTAGTGGGTGGGGCATTCCCTGCGCCAACCGGTGCCCGGCCCCTTTAAGGTGGTGCCACACTCAGCGTGACCGGCCCCTCGCGACCTTCCAAACATGGCGGGGGCGGGGCTGCGGCGAATAATTTAAAGGGGCCGCGCCTGCGGCGCTGGGCGGAACGCTCCCGTGTTGGCGCAGAGTGGACCCTGGCTGTGGCCCCTGGGTGAGTCCGGGTTTCCGTCGCCTCCTCAGGGGCATCCCTTCTGGGGTCGTTAGCGAGCCCTCAGCTTTCCCAAGATCTGTCCTCCCCTGATTCCCGGTAGCCCCCGACTTGGTGATGCTCCCATTCCTCCCAGTTCCCGGCAGGTGTTTCTGCGCAGGTAGCCTGGTGCGCTCTAGGGTGGAAGGGGACTAGCTCTCCGTGAATTTTCCAGATAATGTCTCAAGGGCCCAGTGACTCCTCCAAATTTCCATTAATACTCTAGTGGCGCCAGAAACATCCTCGGCCTCCCAGAAAAGTCCCAATCATATTTCAGCATTCCTCAGTATCTTCCAGGGAGCCCGGTGCCCTCCCTAGACCCGCTCTCGTGCTCGAACGACCCCAGGGACGGGCCCACCCAGCTTCTGGTTTCCCCAGCAGTAGTCCTGTACTCCTCAGAATCTCTCAGTAACTTCCAGTGACCCCCAGGAATTCCAGTGTCCATGGTTACATCTCCCAGCAATGGCGCCGGCATCGTTCTCTGTCCTGCTCCGCACCGTCAGGGACCCCGTAACAACTAATACGTGACAGTAAATCTCCAGCATCAACCAAGAACATCTTGCGAGCCCACCCCACTCTGAGCGTCCCAGGACCCTTCCGAGACCTCAGCATCACCCCAGGACCCCTTGTGGGGGAGCTCCCGCCAGCACTCCCGCGCGACCCAGCCCCGGATCTCCCCGGGGGCAGGCTTGGACCGAGAATCAGGCGCCTCAGGGCCCCATGCCTTGCGGGTCCCAGTTTTCCAAGGGTGGAGCGTCCAGTTTTCGCAGCGGGTACGAGGGTGAGGCCTAAGGGGTCGGTGGGTCAGGAGTGATCAATCCCGCGGGGCAGAGGCCGGGAAGGGGGCCTCTTGCGGGAGGAAGCCGTGCCCTTCGGGGACCTGTGCGCTGGCTGCTGACAGTGGATGCTCGGTCGGCTGCCTTTCTGCCCCGGGGTGGGGTCCTAGCGGGGCCGGGAAGTCAAGTGCCCCACCCCTCTGCTCCGCTGAGCCCCTCTTGCGGTCCCCCGGCCAGCAGAGAAACCGCTCAGGCGACGGGTACGCAGGGTTGTAGGGCTTGCGGCAGGGGAGGGGCGGGCCCAGAGTGAAGACTCGCACGGCTTCCTCCTGCTTCTTATTCCCCAGGACTCCGGTCTACCAGACGGGCGGTCCAGCCAGGAAGAACTGATGGAGGCCCCGCTGCAAACAGGGATGGTAAGGGGCTGGGGCGGTTGTGCAGCGCCGCGGAGACTACAACTCCCGACGTGCTCAGCGCGCATCATCGCGTCCCCGCGAGACCAGGCTGCCCCTGTTCGGGAGGAACTACGTTTCCCGGCGTGCCCCGCGCCGCCAAACCGCTGGGAAGAGCGGTGCCCCCGGGGAGGGAGCCGCGCCGGGCCATTCTGCAGATGGGGACGCCGAGCCCCGGGCCAACCGTGACCTCCGCGGGGGCGGGGCAGAATGGGGTTCAGGGCGTCCCGGCCCCCGGGGAGGACTCGGTGGGGCGGGCATGCGATGCGCAGCCAGTGCCGTTCGTCCCGCAGGTGCTGGGCGTGATGATCGGGGCCGGACTCGCGGTGCTGGTCACGGCCGTGCTCATCCTCCTGCTGGTGCGGAGGCTTCGAGTGCCGAGTGAGGACCCGGAGGGCCCCTCCAGGAAGTCTGCGGGGTGGGGGAGCTGAAATGCCCGGGGCCCTGAGGCGGTAGAGATGGGACTTGCTGGAGTCTGCGCGCAGCATCCCCATTCCCGGCCGCGTGGGGTCTGCGTAGAGCTCATAATGCCCCTCTCCCCGCTTTGTCCCCAGAAACCCCAGCCCCGGATGGCCCGCGGTATCGATTCCGGAAGAGGGACAAAGTGCTTTTCTATGGCCGGAAGATTATGCGGAAGGTGAGTCTAGGACCCCCTGGGGCCCCGGGGCTGACCGCACGGAGGCCCCTAGTTTCCCTTCCCGATAAGGACCTCTGGGTCTGCCTGCCTCTTCGCTAGGGTCTAAACTGGCGATTGACCCGTTCCCCCCACCCCTTAATCCTCCCAGGTATCACAATCCACTTCTTCCCTTGTGGACACCTCCGTCTCCACCACTTCCCGGCCACGCATGAAGAAGAAACTTAAGATGCTCAACATTGCCAAGAAGTAAGGCTGTGCTCGGTCTACCCGGCGCTGGGGGCTATCTCAGGGGCCTTTTGAGTGATCATCCCACAGCGAAGGGGTATCTCAGGGTTCTTTGAACCCCACGAACTGTTGTGAGAGTCTTCCCACATCAGAGGGGCTATCTCTGAGCTCTCGCACACCAGACGGGCTGTCTCTGGGGTCCCCATCCCCTGAGGGCTGTCTCAGTGATGTTCCCCACCTCGGGGTATCTATGAGCTGTTCGCTTTCCAGTCGGGATCTCAGACACCTTGTCCTATATGCAGGGGTCTACATCTGGGGTTTCCTTATAGGCTGTTTCGTGGGTCTCCCCACCCCAGAGGTGCCTCAGTGGGGTTATCTCAGGTGTTTCTGTGACCTGCTGGAGGGGCTATCTCTAGCGTCTGTTCCTTAGGGGTTATCTCAGCAATCTCTCTACATCAGAAAGCATCTCTCTATGTCACCTCCTTGGGGGTTTTTCCACACTAAGGAGCTATTCTAGGAGTTTCTGTTCCTCAGGGGTTATTTCAAGAATTTTCTTGTACTAGAAACATAGGAAGAACATCTCAGGGGGCTCTGTCATCAGCAAAGGGCTACCTCAGGGCCTCTGAGAAAGGCTCTCCCAGACATCTCTAAGTTGGGAGCTAGCCCGGGTCTCCTGACATCCGGGGTTTACTTGAAGTTCTGTCTCACGGGTGTCTTCGCACAAAGGGGACTTCCCAGGACTGTCCACGATCAACACAGCTGCCTATGACTTGAGTTGAATGGCTATCTCTAGATTTCCCATGATCAGTTAAGGGTTTATATCTCATGTCTCCTACATCATGGGGGCTGCCTCGGTGTCTGCAGAGCCTTGAGGAGCCTCTTTATGTCTTCCTGACCATCAGAGGGCTGTCTCAGCCATCTGTGACCTGGGGAAGGGCTAGTTTAACTCAGGGGTCTGCTCATACTAGAGGGTCTATCTCAGGAATCTTGTGGCCGATGAAGGAGCTATCTCAGTAGTAACTGTGACTCGTGGGGAAGGGCTCTCCAGGTCCATGATGAGCACAGCGACTATGTCTGGATTCTCTACATGTAATGAGGGCTATCTCAGGAGTCTCTGTGACCATCAAAGGGGCTATCTTAGGGTTCTCTGAGACCTGGGAGGAAGGGCTATCTCAGGAGTCTAGTTTGTGACTACTGGAAGGGCTATTTCAGGGATCCCATGATGAACAGACGTGCTTTTTCTGGCGTCTGCTCATATCTTGGAAGGTGTGTCGGGGTCTGCCTAACTAAAGGGTCCATCTCAGGGGCCTCAGATTAGTGGAGGGACCATCACAGGGTTTTACATCAGGATCAGCAAATTTTTTCTGTATAGGGCCAGAGAGGAAACCTCTTAGGCTTGTCAGGCCACATACAACTCTGCTGCAGCTACTCCGCTCTGCCGTTGTAACATTCAGGCAGTCACCGACAATACATCAATGAATGAACACGGCCGTGTGCCAATAAAACTTTATTTACAGAAACAGATGGCGGGCCTGATTTGGCAAGCAGGCCAGAGTTTGCTGACCCTGCTCTGTGCCCCGGAGGAAGGGCTATGGGGGGGTCTCCCATCTGCCTGAGCCCTCTCCCTGCCTCCCCTGCGCCCCTCTCCTCCCACCAGGATCCTGCGCATCCAGAAAGAGGCGCCAACGCTCCAGCGGAAGGAGCCCCCACCTGCGGTGCTTGAGGCCGACCTGACGGAGGGCGACCTGGCCAACTCCCACCTGCCCTCCGAGGTGCTCTATATGCTCAAGAACGTCCGGTCAGTGTCGGGGTGCAGGCGGGGGGCTGCAGAGCTGGGGGGCCGACCTGACCGCCTGCCGCCCTCCTTTCCCCTCCGCCGTGCCACAGGGTGCTGGGCCACTTCGAGAAGCCACTCTTCCTGGAGCTCTGCCGCCACATGGTCTTCCAGAGGCTCAGCCAGGGGGACTATGTCTTCCGGCCGGGCCAGCCGGATGCCAGCATCTACGTGGTGCAGGATGGGCTGCTGGAGCTCTGTCTGCCTGGGCCTGTGAGTGGCCCACCCTCGGGGACACTGCAGCTTGGGCAGTGGTTGGGCAGTAGAGTTGGTGGTCTTCTGAGATGCACGTGCAGGAATCGGGCACAGAGGGCCCAGGGCGTCTGGGGTAGTCTACACGGTCAGCAGTGACAGTGATGGCCAGGAAATGGGTGCTGGTCAGAAGGTTTGGTGGGGTCAGGGATCCGGGCATCAGTGACCAGTGGGGTGGGTGAGGGCGAGGGCCAGTGGCATGGTCAGGGGGCGGAATGCCGGTTGGCAGGGTGGGGGCGGTCCTGGTCAGCAGCC